GGCCGCCGTAGCCGGAACTGCTGCTGAACGCGGCGGGCCGGGCCTCCGGGAGGCTGAGCGGCTGCAGCACTGGTGCCCGCAGCCCCGTCAGCCGCACGCCGGCCGCGGAGGGGACGTGCCGGGGCGAGCGTCGCTCGGCTACCGCTTCTGAGGCGGGAGGATCACTTCGGCGTCGCGGCCTCTCTGCAGCCGGCACTCGGAGGCTGGGACTGCCCGGCCCGGCCGGTTCTGCGGGCGCCCGGGAGGCCCCCGGGGGTCCCGGGAAGCCAGGCTGCTGCAAGGCGTTGATGAAAAAGGTGACCGGAGGCTGGGGCTCGGGAGAGGTGGGCCGCCCTGACCGGCTGTCACGGCGAGGCCCGGCTCCCAGCCGGAGCGGGGCTGCGGGAGAAGCGGCCTGCGCCCTCGCGGCGGCGGCTACGCATGCGGTGCTTTCCCGGGGCTTTGCCGGGAGCGAGAAATATTGCGTTGACAGCGCTCTTTGTGTGCAGCCGGAAATTGGCCCAAGAGGGAAGGTTTTGCTTTTCTCTTCCCGAAATGTGACAAACGGTGTCGAGCCAGAAGTGATCCCATGTCTGTGGACGGTCAGGAAGTAATGCTGGAGGTTTTCAGTGAAAGATTCCATCCCTATGTTTTCCTTTTCTGTTAGGGGAAAACTCTGAAATGTATCAGTATCCTTTTAATTCTGAAAAGCTGTGTCCTTCTGTGTTCAGTTTAGTGTCTGTCTTCCAGTATTCAACCGGGCAAATGGGCAAGTTTAATCTGTTGTGACTGATGTATGCTTTGCCTGGGTCCTGAGTTGACTGTGGGTAGCTTTGCGATGATAGGTCCCTGGGAAGTAGGGTTCTCCACATTATAACCCAGAGAAAGGGCCTTTGGGATATTTTCAGGTGCCTTAAGTAGAAATGGATCGGTTGAGAAATGAATAGTGAGAAGCCCTGTGCAATGAAGTCCTTTAAGTTTGGGTATTTGTCTTGTATAGTCTATTCTTTGGCAGGAATTTCTTTTTTTTTAACTAGCATGGATTTAAATGATTTGTAAGATCAATTCCAACAGATGAAAACTGTTACAGATCATTTTGTTATGGAATATATCAGAGCAGTAGTAGGTATTACTGTGATTTTTACTCATTTCCAAATCTTTCTGTGATAGGTCCTTGCCCTTGTTACTGTATTTCACTGTTAGCCTTGATGTCTTGCTCTGGTTCTCCTTTTAAATGGAAATGTTCCCATGCTCAGCAGTTGTGATGAGCATGTCAAACGCAGTTTGGGCATGGTATCAACACCTGTTGAGGAATCTAATATTTATCTTTCTTGCTTCATCGCAGGTACACATTATTGACTATTTCTGGGCGTATATTGTTGATGTGTACCTGATTCTCTTAATTTTTGAGTGGATCTGTTTTCTGGGCTGCAAACATTTTGAGGGTCATCGCATTTTGTTGTTGTTGACATTTCACACAGCAGTGGGTAACAAAGTTAAGGCAAGAATTTTATGAATGGTTACCAAGAGTTTTAACACAATTATCTTCTAACCCATTCTTGCATTTGGCCCTAGACATAACTGTGCTGTCACTTTCACGGGTGGCTCCAACCTGTTCCGTGCAACAGGCTCCTTTGTTGTAAAAGCATTTTTAATTCGTAAATCCCCGCAGCCGCACACATCTTCCACCTTGGGAAGCAAGATTCCCAGAAACCCCGAGCTTATTATTCTTTATGTCTATTTTAAAATAAGCAGGCGGACCGGCAGCCGCGGGCCACCATGGAGTTCCCTGTGCACGCAGGCGAGCCCGCGCCTCTCCCCTGCCGGGGTCGATCTGGGCCGGTCGCCCCCACTCCGGGGCCAACTTTGGGGGCCAGCGTGCGGGGC